ATCTAACCATTTGAAAGGCCATCTCCTTTTTTAGCCTTTTAAGTTAAAAATTTTTATAAAATGAAACAAAATAGGAAACCACTTAGTTGATTTATCAATAATGTGAAACCTTCGTTCTGAATTTTATTGGTAAAAATTACCACATTGAAACAAACACTTAACCTTGGCTCGGACTCTCAGATAAATTGCTTTTGTGTTCTTTGACTAGAAACTATTCTCAAAAAAAAAAGAAATTATTTCTTATGGTGGCTCCAACTCTAGCCAAGAAGGTCTAGGTCAACTATAGGACTGTATAATTATCTAAAGTAATACAGGGGGATTTTTAGAAAAATTCTTTAATTTTTGTTCTTGTGTAAAAAGTAATGGATGGCAGCCCAAATTATTATTTTCTTTAAAAATTTGTTTCAAGTGTGTCACTAGGCACTCATAAAATTGATTTCTTTTATGTGTTTTATAACCCAATGACCTGAAATAATAGGTGCTTGTTGCTTTTTCTTTTGATCCTTAGAAACACTTTTATTCTGTCTAAAAGAATTCTCCCACTAAAATGCAAATGATTACTTGGCTACAGGAGGAGTCTCATTTTATGAGCATTTATAAAGTATTTAGTTGGATTCAGCTGGAATGCAACTTAGAGAAAGGAATGGATACCAGTAGAGAGATGAAAAGAGACAGAAAAATCAAACTTTGCTTACATTAAAATTCTGTCGTCAAATCCTGTTAACCTAAGAAGAAAGCTGAAAATAGATGGTAAGGATCAATGATTATAGATTTTTAAATACAGTATTCATATTTAATAGAATGTCATAAAAATGACAGAATGCCATGAAATTCAGCATGTCAAAACTTTGCTAAAACAAACAATAGATTTAATAAATATGCTAATTAGAGTGAATATTTAGAGGGACGAAAAGAACTTGTCACATCATAGATGTCTCCCCACTACTGGGAAAATTTGGTATTATGTATTCACACAATATTTGCTGTATTACCTAATTAAACATTAGTATAGTCTCTCTGCTAGTGAGAAACCATTGCAAGAGTCCAAATACCAAGTGTGACTATAACTTGAATCAATAGAGTTTGGTGTTCCTGAATAAAAGGCTTAATGAATGTAAAACAAATGGGTTGCATATATAGGTTTTATGTGCAGTAAATTAAGTAGGCTTTAAAATTTGTTAGCATGGTTAGCTCCTCTTTTTTAATTTCCTCCTTCCTTTCCTTCCTTTCCTTCCTTTCCTTCCTTCCTTCCTTCCTTCCCTCCCACCCTCTTTATTTCTTTCTAGCTCTTGTAAGATAAATGACAATAGTATTTTACTGTTTGGGCTGGGGCTTCCTCTCTTTTTCACTTTCACATGATTGAAAACTTTGCGGATTTGTGAGGGAAGGGGAAAGAAGATGAGCACATAAATGTAGATCATTTGAGGATAGACGTAACGGAGAGAATTGGGACCTTGACTTCCAGAGACTTTGTAAGTAAAGAAAAACGTGGGTCTATAAAAATATATGTGTGTTTGTTTTCAGTGAATTTAAAAACATTTTCAAGAAGTATCAGGGTCAATCTGTTTAGACAATCTCCTGTTTTTAGCCCCTACAAATGTCTTTAAGTTAGAAAAATCCTCTTATTTTCAAGTAGCCATTTTTTTTTTTAATGTGAGTACCACACTGCTAAAGACTGAAATAGAAAAAATGCTTCTTCTATTTGTAGGGAAATTGATTTCTGAAAACTACTTTCCAGTGAGGTGTATACATCAAATGCAACTTGATTTTACTGGCTCTGTAGCTAGAGATAACTGATGCACTGTCTTTTTTCTTAGATACCCCTTTGTAATTCAGCTTGGCATAGTATTATGTTTTGAGTTCTTATTGAGGGTTCGGAAATATTTGTCATCAATTTTATGTTTACTCTATTGAAAAAGCAATATACAATGTATTCCATATTTCTTAGCTCTGTGTCTTTGAAGTTTTAACCTATATTCAGATAGCTGTTCTTAACTACAATTTTGAGTATTCACCGGAATTTACAAATTGCCATGTTACTAAATACAAAAAAATACAGCTTGGATCAAGAGATCAATAATTTACAAATCTCAATCCAAAGCTGTTATTTTTCAGGGAAAATTAAATCATTTCTAGCAGAGTATTTGATTCCTAAGGGAAGATAAGTCAAGTATCTTCTTTAAGAATAAGTATATTCTTCCACTGAAGGTATTTCTCATTGACTTTATAATAACTTGAACAAATCTTGAACAAGATTTAAAGAATCTATAATCTCCCAAACTTAAAATTGTGTTCTTTCTGGTTTATTTTCATGTATTAAGATTATATTCAACCCATTTAACAAATTGTCTTCATGACATCACTTGTGTTAATTAATAGAAAATCATATAGAAACAATTATTATTTGTGCCTCTGTGGAAAGATATGCTTCAATGAGTTAAATACCCTTGAATTTTGGTTCTCATTTCTTATTTTGACTTTTTTGTTATGTGCTTCAGGGGTCTTAAATTCCAACAGATGAGGTAGTCAAAGAAAGGGGTAGAAAATATTTAGAAAAAATTAAAACTTCAAAAGGGAATAATTTCTCTGTTAATTAACTTCTGTTTATTCCATACTGACTAAATTATTTTGAAATTGTGAAAAAACAGGCAGCTACCATATAAATTGGTACCTATGAAAATACTGATTACTTTCTTCCTGTGATTTTCAGTGTTAAGAAAACCTTTGTCTTGAAATGATAGACAATACTTGTTCAGATAAAGAAATATGACTTTCAATACCTTTACCATTTTTATTTCTTTAAGGAAATATTTTAATAATGATTGTAAAAATAGAAAAAATATGAGAAAAACAGAAATTAAGATGAAATTTGAGCAGCTGTACTCCACAGTCCCGTTTTCATTTTTCCCTCTATTTTAGTGCCTTCTACTGAGTTATTGAAGGCCCAGATCTGCAAAATTAACAAGCTACTAATTCATTGCCTCCCTTAAGAATTTGGAGCAAAAATTATTCTAACTATGAGGAAATTGATTCACATCATCATGGCAGGTTTTGACTATGAGAGAATCCAGGTTAGATTCAAATAGAATAATGGTCCATGGAGAGAAATACTTTCTAATTTTTCTTGAAGTTGGATGAAAAGCTTTTTATTTAAAAAAAAAAAAAATCCTCCTTGGAAGAAGTCAAAAGTTTTATAACAGCTGCCTGTAGCTACCTTATAACTTCAGTAATCAAGTGACGAAACTGTCTCATTATGCTTTTAAAATCCCGATTAAGTGCATTCCAGAAATAATACATATCATTCTTCATTTCAAAATTAACCTACCTGAATTCTGACTCTTCAACTGTGAGTAGCCATTTTACAAAACCAAAGGGTCACACTTCCCAAACAGTACTTTAAATATCAAACCTAATCCTGTTAATACTCATTGCAATGCATAAAATAAACAGCCAATGCATTTCCATCAAGTTTTTGGGCACTAGTAATAATAAGTAGGTTTCCAAAATCACTTAATAAAAACACAGAGTTATAATGTGCTAGGCCTTCATTAGCATCCTGTGCATGGGGTGGTTTTTATTTAACCTGAATTACTTTAACATTTTGGCTAATTTGTTTGCTGCAATTTCATGGGTCTAAATATCTGGTTTGGCTTGCAATGTAAATTATATTGTACATCTGCTCCCTTGCTATTAGATTTACTTTGTGAATAATATCTTTTAAAAATGTAGTTATCACAAACTTAAATTATAATGTCATCAACTAATACCAGGTAAATATACTAATATATATGTAGGGCATGATTAAATTACATATATTTTGAAATGTCAAACTATTTTTGTTTTTTTTTGTTTTTTTTTAAATGAATGCATCTCTTAAACCTGTGCCATTAATTTTTAAAAAGTTTCATTTGGTATTTCATATTATATTTTAAAATATTTTTCTTTAGTAGTACAGGTTTAGAGAAACTTTTTCTGATTGAAATAATAAAATATGCCTCATTTCACTAGAATTTTAAGAATAATAATACATGTAAAAGTATAACTCATATAAGATTATAAATATCCAAAATATCTTCTTTGCTTTTCATGTAACACCACTTATTACTCATTCTTTTGTTTGTTATTCTAAAGCATTCACAATGTAAATAGCACGTTTCATGATACAAAATGTCTTGGTATTTACAGACTGCAGAACAAGGTGAATTTGTGTCTGAAAAATGAGTGATGGAAACATGGGATTCTTATAAAACAAAGTGGAAATGACAGTTGTGTGTTAAATTTACATAATTCATTACAAAATTGTCTAGTTAAATCATGCATTTATTTACCTTAAAAGTGTCCAAACTGTCACTTATAAAATATTTAAATCAATAAATAATACCGAAAAAAGAGTCAATATTCTTTCTAGCATTTTTTCCATACAGTGAAGGTGAATAACAATGCCTAAGAATATGAATGAATAATAGATGAAAGAATGGGGGAACAAATAAAGGAGTGAATGGAGTATTTATAATTCAGTGCCTTTATGGTTGCAGATGCAGCTGCTGACACAATATCTGACAAAGCCAATTTGAATTTTTTTAACGTGAAATCTCTCTTTTGTCCTCTTACAAAACCAAAGAACACACATTATAATTACTGTATGTACCCCAAATATATATTACAAAGAAAAGGCATAGCTCACATGTCTTCTGACTAGCCAGTTGCTTTCTTGAAAGGACAGAGAAAAGGGTTCATATTACTATCATAATTAAATGTCAGTTGAATGTCCGCTGAGTAACTTTCAAGAGCATACCCATCAACTAGATGAGATGCAGGACATACCTATAAGACCATTTTATTCCAGTGTTCTGAAATACTCCGCAGCCTACCTATACAGAAACAAGTTATCTTGTTATTTAATGGCCCTCTCCTCTATAATCATTTAGCCTCAACCAGACAAATTTCCATCTGTTTCTAGAAGTTCTTAAGGGAGTCTTCATCTTGTGTTCACAAAACAGGGCTGTTCTCATCATCTGCCCTTGTCTTCTCATATTACCTGCTGCTCAGAAGCCATGCCACTCCTAGGAGCCACTTCCCTGACCCTAAGAGAACTGACATTGAGTAGGTAAATGAAGAAACACTTAATGAATAGTTCTTAAATGATAATCAATGTAGAATGCTTTTATGAACCATTTTCTCAATTATATCCTAATAATCCTATGAAAATCTGCTCTCTTCGTTTTAGAGGTAAGAAAATATAAGCAGAGAGAGACTAAGAAGCTGTCTGTAGCATAGGCAAGGTGGTTGCCACTTAACACATGATGAGGCTGAAGACTACCTTTTGTTAATAGTTTGAACTTTCTGGAACTTAACTACAAGACAGACTGTAGTTAAGTGATATTGTGCTGAGGAAAACTAGAAATGGTTTTGGTAAAGAATTAGCAGTTTTTGACACAATTGACCTTCTGCATGCCAAATATTGATTTGCACACTTTCCTGAACAAGTTGAACGCCTTCACGTCCCTCTGCAAGGGAGATAACATAGAGTTTCTTTCAGTTACAACAGCTGGCTCACATCCAGATATGCTGGGTGGTATGCATTCATCTCCATCAACACATGGTCACTTAGGAACCAAAACACAAATGTCTGCTTTCTCCCTCTCTACCCGCACTCCCACATAAATATATGTGTGTATTCCTATTCATATAGATAGATGAGTGACAAAGACAAAGGCATAATTTCAATAAAAATTTTCAAGGGAGAAAGGGAAAACACATTGTAATTCTCCATTTCACAGCATGATAGACAGGTAATAAGATGCCCTTGCCCTGGCTCAAGTCCCTATGGGGAATCATTATGACCTCCAGCTCCATCTGTGGCACTTGTCTCCATTGGCTGGGATGGTCTTCCTTGTTTGTTCCATACCATGGCTGCATGTGAAGTGAATATTAGGAAATATGCCCTCCTTGGGAGCTTTATACTTTTCACAGACTACTGCTTGCTAGTATATGTTTGTATGTTGAAGCATTCAGTTTGACTCACTGGATCATTTTGAAATATGATCCAGAACATTATCACATTTGTCTTTATTGTTGGACAGAATGGTCGCTTTAAATTACCAAAAGAAAACATCAAGCTAGGGAAATTCTGGCTAAACCTATGACAGGATTCTTGCTGATGGCACGTCAGCATGATGAGTTATTGAGAGTAGAAGATGAGGAATTCGTTCAAATATTGCGTGTGATCAGATATCAAGGGTTCAACCATTTTCTCTAAGCTGACTCAGCAGGATTAATGCTAAAACTAGCTAAGCAGGACAAGTTGAGGCCCAGTCAGACAGAGGACTGAGAGGACCCTGACTCAGATTTGGTCAAGGAGAGAGTCACTGTCACCAGAAAGAAAAGTAAGGATTTCAATGGATAGCTATTTCATAAAATACTTTATAGATAAGATTTAAAAAGCACAGACAGCAAAAACAAAAACAGACAAATGGTACTATCTCGAACTAAAAAGCTTTTGCACAGCCAAGGAAGTAATCAACAGAGTGAGAAGACAACTTGTAGAATGGGAGAAAATATTTGCAAACTATTCATATGACAAGTATCCATATAACATCCAGAACATGCAAGGGATTCAAACAACATAAGAGTTCTTTTAAAATCCCATTAAAATATGGGCTACAAATAGACACTTTTCAAAAAAAAGGACATTCAAGTGGCCAACAAGTATATGAAAAAATTCTCAAGATCACTAATCATCAGGGAAATACAAATTAAAACCACAATGAGATATCACCTTACCCCAAATGCTGACAAGGATGCAGAGAAAAGGGAGCTCCTATACATTAATGGTGGAAATGTTAATTATACAGCCATGATGGTAAACAGTATGGAAAGTCCTCAACAAAATTAAAAACAGAACCATATGATCCAGCAGTCCCACTACTGGGTATTTATGCAAAGGAAAGGAAATCAGTGTTTCAAAAAGATTTCTGTATCCCCATGTTAATTGCAACACTATTCCCAATAGCCAGTATATAAAATCTGCCCAAGCGTCCATCAACAGATGAATAAAGAAAATGTCTAATATATACACAAAGGAATATATATTCAGTCATAAAAAAGAATAACATCCCGTCATCAGAAGCAACATGGATGAGCCTGGAGGACATTACATTAAGTGAAGTGAGTCAGGCACAGAAAGATAAATAATGCATGTTCTCACTCACATGGGATCTACAAAGTTGAGCACGTGGAGCTCAAGAGTAGAATCATGGTGAATAGAGCCTGGGAAGAGGAGGGGACAGAGGAGGACAGGGAGAGGACTGTTAATGGATAAAAAGTTATAGCTCTATAAGAGGAAAAATTTCTAGTGCTCTATATCATTGTAGGGTGTGTAAAGTTAATAATGATAAATGATTTTTTAAAAAAGCTCAAAGATTTTGAATGTTCCCAACACAAAGAAATGAAAAATGTTTGAGGTGATAGATATGCTAATTGTCCCAATAAGATTATACATTGTATACATGTATCAAAATATCATTCTGTATTCAATAAACATGTACAATGATTATGTGGCAAATAAAATTAAAAGGAAAAAATGGGCACAGAGTGTCCTAACTAAGCTTCAGAAGTAATTGGATGAATAATCATAGTTGCTTATTTGCATGAGTTGATTAACCTGATGATACTTACTCATATGCTAAAGTGAAGAAGGAGACATAGGTGGGCTCTAAGGAGAAAAACAGAAAAATTCAAAAATGAGAATACAGTATCTGCTCCCCAGCCTGGCCCCAGAGACTCAATGTGAACCCTTATAGGAAGGAAGCCCAAAAGCCAAAGCTGGAAAAGTTGCTTTGCTAAGGACTCGCATGCTGCCTAGACAATAAGGAATGCTGTCTCAACACCCAGGTAATTAGTTTAACAGTCTGTGGAAGAGATATCCTCCCCAAAAGATCTGTTTAAACTTGAGAGAGAGGATTTAAATTCAAAATGTCACTGAGTTTTTAGAGATGAGATCACACAAGTGCAATCTGTCACATAATTAAATGTAACACATAATATCTGTTTGCTGTCATCAAATCCTGAAGTTTCTGCCTTAGAGACCTTTTCCACGCTCAGCCACAGCATTGTGGTTCTTGCTGTCATGGATACGGCAGGTGTAACCGTCTCTTACCTAGACAATGCTTCACTAGCACTAGTCCACGAAACAGCACTTATCTTTACAAACTTTTCTTTGTTCATAAAAAAAAATGTGATGCTAAATCAATTCAATTTGAAAGCCAGTTTTTAATTTAGAGGTTGAGTAACAGAAAGACCAATTTAGCTGTATTGAGAGACACTGTTAACAAGAGATGTTTATTTTTTATATTCTTTAGTTTGCAGGAATATTTGCTCATTGTCCTGACCTACCTAGAGAATGATTATCCATTATTCAATGTGACTACTATTATCTCTGCCTTTATGTAATTTTTCTTATCTTCTCCCGAACACCCTTTAATGCCATTGTGGAACATTAGTATCAGAGCGAGATTATCCCAACCTTAGGAATCTAAAACAGAACAGAGCCATTCATCATTAATAGCAAGTGTGTCTTTTAAGTTGGGTATAGTGGCAAGTAACAGAAAGTCCAACTCAATGGGCTTTTACAAATATAAAGAAAAATTATATGTGCATAGAATTAAGAATTTAGATGTGGTATACACAGATTTTGTGTACCTGTGACTCCACCCTCTTTTGCATGTCAGTCTGGTCCTCAGACTTGCTTCTCTTGTGAAAACAAAATGGCTTTGGTTATACTTTTCTTCAGTCATTGAAGGAAAAGAAGGCCCTCTCTCTTCCTCTGGATTATGTTCTGATGTGAAGCATAAAACTTTAAAATAATTTTAATGTTTAAAATTTTAAAGCATAGAATTTAAAATAATTGCTTTGACCAGAGGAATGCTGTACCCTCACTTATGGAAGCTGACTTATAACACATCCCTGAACCCAGCATGAATTAAAGGGGGAGAAAATTTTACCGTTAGTTTATGGCAATAAGTAAGCATCCACGTAACTGTTGATTGGTACTTACCCAACAAAAAGGGGAAAATGTGGAGTGGATTTAGTGGGTTAGCCATAATTATTACAAATATTTCAGGATTATTTAACCTGCCAGTGGGTCACCCAAAACATGCAACCTATTTTAGACATAGCTATTACCCCAGTGTAACCAATTCAATATAGTAGAGATATTTGCATTTTCAAAGTAGGAATCAACACTAGTGGTGAAATAGTGCATCAAAGGTAATATTTTCAGATGAAGATTAGTTCTGGTTCCTAGTATCCTGTAAGTCACATCATGTAGGTAGCCTCCTGCTTTGTGTATGCATAAAGGCAGTTCTATGACCAGACAAAGGTAATATGAGCTTTAATATCACGGCTAAATCATGCTTCTTTTAAATTATTAACTGTATTGAGGGTAGGGACTTTGAGAGAGAATCTCTCATGTGGAGAGATATTAAAATCTTAATTTAAACAGATTTTTTAATGTCTGTCTCTCTGCCTTCTGTCTGCTCCTTATTATTCACCTGGAAGGATTTCTACATTCTCTCTGGAAGGAGGTTCATGATCAATGATAATACTAAACTTGTAGGAACCCCATGTAGCCAGAAGATTGATTTTTCTCCTTTGGGACCACAGATGGAAGACTTCTTTATTAAGATGTCTCAATAAGTTAATGCAACTCTGAGTTTATTAGTGCTTATGTAAGAGAGTGAGAAGTGATTTAAGTACCTGCTACACACTGAGTAACACATTTAAATGTCGAGCAAGACTTTCAGCCAGTTAAGATGAAAAGGACTCTGCAAATAACTTTTGCTGCTTTTTCTTGTTATGTGCCATTAATCAAGACTCATAGGTAAGGATGGGCACCTAATCCACCCACTACCTCAGCACAAGATGACTGGAAGCACTGTACATAATCACAATGACCCCACATGCAGGTTTCCAACAGAAGATGCCAAATTATCCCCAAGTCTCTTAGCCAATCCTTCACATCTTTATTCAGAAGGGGTTTCTTAAGCCTAAGTTTAATAGTAAATAATCTTTTAAAGTTTTCCAGGTAAGAAGGGTTATGGTTATTAGTAAATTTGGACTATGTGGAAGGGCCCATTTTACATTATTTTTTTATTTTTTCCCCCTTTTAACAACATTAGTATGTGGGTATTTGCTTTTGGGTTTTTGCTTTTATCTGTCAAAAAAAAAAAAAAAAAAAGAATATCGAGAATTAGCAACTTTTCCAAAATCAGCTGGTAGATTACAGAGCTAAATGTCAGATTCAGTGTTATTACCTGTATTTCTCCAGTACTTACAGAGGAACACTAAATCTTTCCATTTGGTATTTTTCCCTGTCTTAACTTAAAACCACCTCCGGTTTTTATCTTACATTAAAGAGCCTGAATTGCAACCCTTGAATAGTATGTGTTAATTTTTCATCATCCTTATCCAGGTTCTCACATTCATTAATTCATCAAATATTTATTTACTAAACATAAACTTTGTGCTTAAAACTGTGCTTGACTCTTGGACAATCATGAGTAATACATGTCTCCTCCCATGAGGGAACTGAATAAATGGTAAAGGAGACACAGATTAATCACAATTGCACAATCAAATATATAAACACAAATTGTGAATGATGCGATGTGGGAAACTTAAGAAGTACTGTGATACGTACAACAGAGAGGAAGGAAAAAAAATCACTGAAAATGTAGATTTTGAGCTGAGTTCTGATGGGTGAGTGGGAGTTCTACAAAAAAATAGTAGATAGAGGTCTCTATCTCCAGCACCATAACAGAGGAGAAAGCCTAAAATGCCCCTCTAAAAAAGAGGTAGCGTGAAGAATGAAATATACAGATTAGTATACAAGAAAGTAAGAGGATGAACTGGAAGCCAAAAAGTCACAGAAACGCTTGAGCTCATGCTTCAGAAGCCCTTTAGTGGTATGAGAGAAAATTTAAAATCAAAGTGGAATAATAGAGAAAATAACAACATGTAAAATGAGAAGCCCTGTAGTGGTATGATGAAAAGAAGATGGCAGTGGTCTCATTAAATAAGAAACTT